TCTCTCTCTCTCTCTCTCTCTCTCTCTCTCTCTCTCTCTCTCTCTGTACAGTTGACGTTATCTCGTGACCTCGGCACTCGGTTATATACACACACAAGCGATACATACATACAAATTGACAATTATCGCAGCTTTGTCAATAAATGCAAACGATATCTTTCTACAATATATCCAAAGCACGTAAGACAACTCTAATTACCGAGAGCACATAGTCGTGTCAGAACTCTCGTTGTACCAGGATGGAGCGATGGACTGAAAAAGTACTCAGATAGCTAAGTATGTCAAAGCAGAGTTTGCCAAATGCTTGTTACAAATTGTTTTTAGCAGAAAGACATCAAATATACTGCAGTGCTTGTTATATCTGCCGATGTCGCAAAATTGCTATCAGAAATATCCCTTCCAGGAAAGTATTACTGAGACATGAGTGATTAATTATTGGTGCTTAGTAATTTAATTATTAAATCGCAGTGTGATTTTCACTAATTTAATTATTATTGTGTCAACAATTTTTAGTAGTTTAATAATTGTATTATGCATGCTTCATTACTGGTCCAGTAATTGAGCCGTGTAATGAAGTACTGCAGAATCACTGAGAGCCGCTGCATTGAATTACTTGCTGAGTGATGAAACTATGTGATCCATTGCTCAGACTCAATGATGAATTAGCGACTCAGTAATTTGGTTGCAGAATAACTTACTAAACAAATACTGAAGCTATATGATGAATCATTGACTCAATAATTTAGCTGTGACAAAAAGTACTGGCACATTTATAATAATAAGAGAAATATTTTTATCTATTGTTGTAGGAATATTCCATTAAAATATCTTTAATAAAATAATAATTTAAATAAATAAAATGGAATGTATAAGATAACTTGAAAAAAAGTAGATAAAAATAATTACGATTTATTAAAGAACAAGTGATCTCGCGGACTGAGGGAGCTACAAATATAAAGGTCTCGGATTCAAATCCCACCATCATTTATAGGATTTTTTCAGGTCCTTTTCAACAAAATTCATCGATCGATCAGCGAGATAAATCGAGCCTCCAAAAATTAATTTGAGTGAAATCTCGAATTAATTCCCTTCTCAAAAAAAGACGTGGCATTGGTACTTGTTTTCTTTTAATAAGGAATTTTACTTGGATTATAGATAGAATCTTTTTTTAGATTTTAAAGTGCAAAGCGCGTTACACTTCCAATTGGAAGCGATATAAAATTTCCATGGAAAATCCAATATATTTTGGAAAAATCTAACTGATTTCCGAATAAATCTCAAACAAATTTCTATGCAAGCACTAACAGTAATTTATTCCGTAATTCACTATCAGTAATAAGTCCTCAGTAAATATCCAATAATTTTCAGTAATTAGCCAAATTATCACTGGATACTTATAGACTAGTAATTTATTACTCAATTTGGTGTAGTACAGGTACTAAATTTCTGTAAAGGATATCCAAGCTTGTCGACAAAAAGTAACAGCAAATTACTGATAAAAACCGTGCAAAGCTTGATAACATAAATCGAAATCACATTGACGCCAAATAAAAAGCAAGATCTGTGCGACTTAATCTGACAGCAAATTGAAAGCAAAAACCAAGTAAGACTTGCAGTTCAGCTAAATTTATAAAGAAGTATTGGCATATATCTCAAATTTATTTCTACAAATTATATACATATGTACATAGTTATATAATCTGTTATAAATACTATACATAGAATTATATTTAAATTTGAATATTTAATCGACAATAATTATAAATATTAAACTGACATCTACGTGAAATATTTTAGTATTTATATTTTTTTTAACAATTAATTGTCGGTATAATATAATTTTAAATTATTTTACAATATTTTTAAATTATCAACAAAGATAACTTATATTATGCACATACGATATTTATCGTTTATTATTACATAATTATTTTTGCTAAGCAGAAAAGCGATTAAATATTGGCCAAACTGAACTCTATTAAAGAGTTAGGTGTCAGTAATACAATAAATTAGTTTTACTTCAGTTAAAATTTCGCTGATTTACTTAGGAACACATTGATTTACTTAGAATCAGTACTAATATCAGTAAATGATTTTGAAAGCTTCAATGGCTGAATTGTTAGAGTGTCCGCCGGTAATCAAAGAGTTCCAGATTCCAAGTTCGAGTCCAGTCGAGATGATTTCTGATACAATGGGTTTATTCTACGAAGTAATACTAATCCTGATAAAAAATATTTACAAAATTATGTGACAAAATCTTGTACAAAATTGTAATTTGCAAAATTACTTTCCAAATACTATTTCGGCAAAAGAATAACGACATGGCGATTCATCTTAACAGTATAGTTGCAAACTTCATTTCTAAAAGAAATTGTCCAATAATTGAGAAAACATTTTCAGTTATGTGATGTTTAAAATATGTAGAAATAAAATTGCATATGAAGAAATCACCTTAATTCATACCATAATAGGCACATTTGTGTAAATATTGCACAAAAATAACATCATGAATGGCGACGATTTTGCAATGATTACACTAAGATGATTCGCCATAACGCATCAGTTTTGTCGAAATAAAATTTTGTAAATAATATTTGTCAAAAAGTGCGAAAAAGTCGTTATGCATTTCCACAGTATATACCTCCAATAGGCAAATTGTGAAAATATTGCACAAATATGACATTATGACGGCGATTTCTTGCATTTCTTCATATGCAATCATATTTCTACATATTTGAAACATCACATAGCTGAATTTCTTTTCTCAATTATTGGACAATTTTTTTGTGAAATTAATTTTGCAAATATACTGCTAAGATGATTCGCCATATCGTTATTCTTTTGCCGAAATAGTATTTTGGAAAGTAATTTTGCAAACAACTACAAATATTTCAGAAAAGATCAATGTTTTTGCATCTACCCTTACGAAAAAGAACTACTGGCAATAATATATTGCGGCAGTGGTACGAAAAAATGACTGGCATTCTGTGTAATTGCCAGTAATATTCTCAGTGATTCCTGTAATAAATAATAATATTCTTATGTAATTGTCAGTAATATTTACATTACTGACTTTATTTATATGTAATCGGCAGTAGTTCTTTTTTGTAAGGGTATTTCCTAAAATATGTCTGTATAATTGCAAATTACAATTTTAGTGCAAAATTTCGTCACATGTTTTTGTAAATGGTTTCCTATCAGGGTATATATGCTTATGGAAATACACAAAGACTTTTTTGCAATTTTCGAAAAATAATATTTACAAAATTTTATTTTGACAAAACTGTTGCGTTACGGCGAATCATTGTAATGCAATTATTGCAGATCATCGTTATTCACGATGCCATTTTTGTGCAATATTTTCACATTTTGCCTATTAAAGAAAACAACTTAAAAAGTAACAAAGAAAATTTACTCGACAACATAAATTATAAATTTAAATTATTTTTTTATATTATAAATGTCGTTTTGCTATCACATCGTGTTGCGCAGATCTCGCTTCATTTTTTGTGTTAATTTGATCTTAGGTTATATTATCAAGCTGTGCTCGATTTTTACTAGCAATTTGCTGTTACTTTTTGTCGCCGAACTTTGCCAACAAAATCTAAACCTACTGCGAACACAGTTGACGCCAATTTGCTGAGTATTTTTGCTTACAATTGCCGACAAATTGCGGATAAATTGTTTACTAAATAGCTGTTGTTACTAAAGTAAACGGAATCGCACAAAGTCTTGTTAAACGATGTGAGGAAAAGATTCATATTATATATAATACGTGTCACATGAAATTGTCACGTGCAAAATAAAGAAGAATAGATTTAATTCAACAATGTAACATGAAATTTGATGTTGCAATCTCGAGCGTTTATCTTTATTTGCGACATAAGATAAATGTTGTTATTCCAAAGAAATTATTATCGTCTTCATAACACGAGAAAACAAGATTAGAGATGCGTCGAGAATTATGCAATATGAGATAGAAAGAGTCAGAGAGAGAAAGACTAGGATTAATCTATTAAAAATTATTCTTATATTTAAAAACTTACGGTTTTGTACACATTTCATCAGGTACGTTAATGGCTTTGCGAGAAGAGCGAAGAGAATAAGAGAAATCGCTGATATTTTAAAAGATTCCTCGTGAAAGCTCCACGCTGTGAAATGCGACCTAATTACAAAGGATAGCGTAATCGGATCGCTAAGTGAAGGTACTACAATTGAAAGTCTAATAAAAACGCAAGGCAACGATTCAGAAACATCCTTTATAACATTTTTTGCTAGGCGTTTTGTAATGACGTACGTACTGGTCATGGGATGTATATATCTGCAACAATTAAGTAACAAGAACATATTTTACTAATGACAATATATACACGACACAACGCATGTATCTCGTGTGCATGCGCGAGTGTAATATAGAACTTACTTCGCGGTAAAAACTTTTAAAATTTCGTTGTCAGTATTCTCAGCAATGTGGATCGTCTTTTTCCACGCGACATTTTCCAAAGGATAAAAAACCGCGTCTACGACGAGTTTATCACACTGTGTAACTGCCGAGCTTACGTAAACTAAAGCCTATTTCGATTATGTAAATTAAATATAACGGTTAGAATTAGAATGTTGTCCAGCACACAAAGTTATTGAGAAAAATATACTTGCGAAACAATATAAATCGATAAAAAACACTCATCACTATGTTTCATAGATTGAGCCACAATACAAGCGTCACGCGCGTTGATCGCAAGTTTGTGAAAATCGCATCTTTAAGACTTTCGTCAAAGCGGACAGAAGCCACTACGTGGAATATTATCGGGACTTTTTTACTTAACATTTTTTTGTCTTCTGGCAATAATCCTAAATCTTTAGTACTCACGTTCCCACTTATAGGAATTTTATCGAAACTGGATGGCCGTTCGCGCCGTAATAAATCAAAAAGCTTGTTTTTCAACATTTCCTTTAACCTGTCGTTGATAGTTACTCCTTTTTTCGGTCGTATCAGTAAGAATATTTTTTTAATATCCAGACAACTTCTCAGTAATGTTTCACATAACGCTTTACCCAGGAAACCATACATTTACTCATATTAACTAAAATATTTATAACGTTTATAAAGTAGTATGTGATAGATACTAAGAAGTTTCAAATAGGTGGATAGTCAGCAACTTACAAATGTTGATGTGATCTAACCTATTCGCGTCCTTTTCTGTCAAAGTATTTGTACGTAAATGAGTCTAACTGAATAATCGGCTTATTTATAGGAAATAATGAAGTCGTTTACAGAAAATAATGAAGAATTTCTTTCATGATACGCAATATTCTAAAAGTTCGAAAAGCAGTCTACTTTACACTTACATATTGTATTTAACATTTATTTATGTGCATGTGTGTGTGTGTGTGTGTGATTTTAACTCATAATATATTCAATATTCAGAACGTTTGATGTATAATATCGTGATACCGGTAAACGCGCAAAAACAAAATTTCTTGAAAATCGCGCACGAATGACCGATTACACAAAACGTTTTTCTACAATCGGATTCCACTACAATAAAAAAACTTTGAAAGATAAGCAAGTTGCAATCTCGTTTTCCTAGTTAAATTATAGAAAAAATATGTCCGAAATCACAAAAGAAAGATTCTCTTCTGAGCAACAGAATAACATATACACTCCCACACATAGTTTTTTCATATATTTATCTGCTTACGTTTCCTCGCTCCGAAGTTTGTTATCGATGCCGTTCACATAATCAACCATTGCTACTGAGAAATAGTATCGCGATTATGCAATAAAAAAAAATCTTAAATCTTTAAGAGAGCGATTAATACCTTGTATATTGCAGTATGTATTCATGTAGATATCTAATGTTCAAAATACACTAGTTAAAGTGATATTAACCGAATGTTTTTTTGATGTTGGTAATTGAAGAAATACAAGTCAGTGAAACATTCTGTAAAGTATACACTTATGTTATATCGTATCATTCTTGTATTGTTTTAACCAGCGAAACTTATTTCGAAGTTTTATACTCACAGATTTACGTGATTCTTACAATATATTTGCCCAGTATTACAAACTAATTTAAACATTCACTTTTATCAAATAACTTTCACCTATCTCAAAAAATAAACAAAACTTACTTTCTTGATTTATACACTAATTTACCTATTGTGCAATCATAAACGTGAATATAAGATGTAGCATAGCATAATCACAAACAACAGTTTGATACTTTCATGAAGCCAGTCCAATCTGAAACATCAATAATGGCAATGCATTAATTAATTTTATCGTTTTTATCACTTATAATATATAACATTTTATCAAATATCACGCAGTTTTTGCAGCAAACTTGTTTGACATTGGTTTCTGTAAAACGAATATTAACATGCTTTTGACAATACAGCTCATGAAAATTACTAAATGTCCGCATTTCCGTTATGACCTGGTAACTACGAACGTCACAACCACCGATCAGAGTGCGCACGTACTTTGCAATATCATGTGAAAAACATTTCTATCCGAGAATGTTATATGCAATATTTATTATAACAATCTCAAGTATTCTATGCAATAATATTGTTTTTTAAAAAGACACGTTTTTTAAGACAACACAAAAATTTGTAAAAAACACTCGAAATTGATAAAAACATTGATTGACAATCTTGCAGTGATCATTTTATTCGTTTACTCTTACTTTTTACGATAACGTTTGAGTTGTTCTAAGCGACTCATATCTTCATTGAGCAAGTAGAGTTTAGAACCAATAATGCCATGTCTGAAATAAAATATAATAATTACTTATTAATCTAATTTTTAAACAAAGAATCAATTTTTTTGACATAGCAACTATTATCCTAATAAGATTACGTACGTAGTACATATTCGCATGTGTGAGATTTAATACGCACCTGATATATTCTTCTGTGCCACAATTTACACTATTTTTATATCCAAAATCTTTTTCATTAGCAGCGCTCAGATTCTCGAAGATGTTTATTAAATTTGTGTTAGTAAACTGCCAGAAATGAGTTGCAAAAAAGGACAATGCACGGTTTGACATATATATTCTTCGTTGCAACTTCAGTAACCTATATAAATCATAATATATACGTTACACATTCACTTATACCAAAAATTTCACATGTGATACTGCACATTTTTGAATATCTGGCCTGTAAATATCAGAATTTTAAAATAAAACTTACATCGGACGTAAACGTAATATTTTCAACACAGCATCTATTAATAATGCCGGAACAATATGTAAAACTAATACCAATATGTAATATAACAATCCACTATTTGTCATAATCGTCTGTGGTTTCCAAATTGTTCGCTCAAAAGGAATATCATATACGGCACGAAATCCTGCGCGTATTAACTTTCCGATACTTATGGTATTCATGGTGTTTACAGAGCAATTGTAAATGTGAAGATTATTATTCTCGGAGATGCTGATTTGTATAACATAGTATAAAGTGTAAATTTTTACAGTGATCGAGACAAGTAAGTTAAATACTAAAAAGTGGCTTTATCACATGCGTACTTTTTCATTCCGCGTTTCCAAGCTGCGATAATCATTGCTTTAATCACTATATCTACCGGAATAAAATCGGAAAGTACATTAGAATCCAAGTGAACCACACGTAAAACTCCGGCTCCACCAGCAGTAAGCAAGCCCATGGGTCCGTTAAAATTGTCAATCCAGCCTGGCACAGGATCATTGACTGATGGTACGACAATAGATGGTCTAAGGATAATACAAGGCAGTGACTCGGAAAAGTCATTTATCACTTGCTCGGCTAGTCTTTTCGTAAAAACATAAGTATTTGCCATTGTTCCAATATATCTGCAAAAATCAATGTACAGGCGTGAACGTATTTTGACAATGGCAATATATACACAATACAACGTATGTGTTTTGTGTGCACGGGCAATTGTATAAAACTTACTTCGCTGTAAAAATCTTTAAAATCTCATCGTCAATGGTCTCAGCGATTTTGATCGTTTTTCTCCAGTCAACATTCTCCAAAGGATACAAGACCTCGTCCACGATGGGTTTATCGCTTTGTGTGTACGTCGAGCTCACATGAAGCAGAGCCTTTTTTTTATAGAAAAAGAAACATAACGTTATTAAAATATGTTAAGTGTGCACACAACGTTATTGAGAAAAACGTACTTGCGAAACAATATCTTACCACTATATTTTTCATAGATTGGGCCAAAAGACAAACGTCATGCGTTGACCGTAAGTTTGTGAAAATCGCATCTTTAAGACTCTCGTCAAAGCGGACAGAAGCCGCTACGTGGAATATTATCGAGACTTTTTCACTTAACATTTTCCTGTCCTCTGGCAATAATCCTAAATCTTTAGCACTCACGTTTCCACTTATAGGAATGATTTTCTCGAAACTGGATGGCCGTTCGCGCCGTAATAAATCAAAAAGCTTGTTATTCAACATTTTCTTAACTCTGTCGGTGATGGTCAATCCTTTTTTCGGTCGTATCAATAAAAATATTTCTTCAATATCCGGACAAGATCTCAGTAATTTTTCACATAACGCTTTACCCAGGAAACCTGTGCCACCAGTAATAAACACACTTCGATGGGAGTAAAAGGTAGGTATAAATGTATCAGCGTCTCCAGTCATAGTAACTCAAATATTCAACACGGTTTTAAAATAGACACAACGAAATATCAAGTGTTTTGCGTTGGAATAATAAAATAATAAAAAATATAAAATATTATTATCAATTAAAACCTTTGCACTTTTAATGTCAACAAAGTTAATTTTTTATCTACGGTATGAAAGAACAAAACACCACAGCACTTGGTGTTTCTTCACAAAAGTTTAACACGGAAATGAGCCGAATTCTGAGTTTGTTAGAAAGAAAATGATGTGTAATTTAGNCGATGATTGCGCAATGCTTGACAAAGTCCACGGAAGCACGTTTTTTATATGCTGAATAATGAATACGGTATGTATAGATATGAGTTTACATGTAGTATATATTTAAGAGAGACAGTGGTTCTTATTTATTATTGATAAATTGATTTAAAAACATCATTGTATGTAGATTTACGGGCAAACAAACCTTGATGAGGTGAAGGATTCGCACCTTTAAACGTCAGTCAAGATTATTCAAGATTTATAACGAAGAGAAAGAGACAAAACATTTATTTGATCAGAAGTAAGATTGTAATATACGCTAATAATTTGTAATTTAATCTTATAAACAATCTTTCATATCGAGATCAAGCAGTGGTTGATATCAGATATCGTACATTTACGTGATAAACATATGTCTATTCGTTTTTACGTATTAATATTGTAAATATTTTTGTATTTAGAGTGGTGTTAGGTAATAAAAGACGTTATTTTGTTAGTAATCAGAGGTGGTATATTTTTATTCCGCGTATAATTAATGGTTTGTGAAGACCGGAATCGCCGAAAAGAAACCATTCTTATCAAAAATATATATATTAATAAAAACTCTTCAGGCTTTTTAAAGTCTAATAAGAAATGTGGAATAAGGTCATAAGATCCGTTTTTCAGGATGTTGTGCAGAAATGTATAGTATATATATTTATATGTATGTACATATGTATGTATGTATTCACGTGTAAATTTTTACACATGAGTTTTTTGAATTAAAATTACAATTCTTAAATCCGTATATAATGCTATATTTGCATCACATATATGATAGACCTCAAATACTCTTCTACCTAAGTTTTAAAAGATTGCGAAAAGAACTCCTTAACCAAGAGTCGAACGTGGAATCTTCGTCTTTTCGGGCCATCGCCTTCCTTGTTAGGCCACCGAGGCTTATATTTCTGCACAACATCTTGCAAAACGGTTTTTATAACGTTATTTCATATTTAATATATATATATGTTTAGTCAGCGGCAAATAACAAGCATTGACAAACGAGACAGACACTCAATTTTCTACATCCACAGCGTTCAGAGAAAAATAATTGTGTCTTGTACAATACATCTGTTCATTTTGGGTATAAATGTGCTATGTTTCATGAAATTTCGGTGAAAGTTTCGATCAAACACACATATTCTTATAAACAAGTAAAAGCAAAGTTTAATTCTGAAAGAGAAGCAATATATAGTTTTTTCTTAGATAAACGTGTTTCTTTAACTCCCTTTGAAAAAAAAACTTCTTCAAAAGAAATGATCCTAATAACGGAGAATTTTTAAAAATTAAATCATTTTAATTATGATGATATGTCATACTCGTGAGTGTCGATATTTGAATAGTCGTAATCGTCATTGTGATAGCTGTGCTATTCTCGTACTCGTCCGTATACGTGAACACACACGTGTATGCGTCACACGTAAAGCAATTAAATACAATAACTATTTGTATAATTGTGTGGCAGTGAAATTGTATCGATCGCAACTAGAGAGAAAGTGTAATTAATTGTGATCGTTTAACCTTTTAAACTTATCGCCGTCGAAGAATTTCGGGCTTCAGTCGTTTTTAGATACTCGAACTTCGCGGCAAACTACGAAAGAAATATTAAGAGAGATAGGAGTTTTGTCATTCGCTGTCTCTAATTTTTTCAACTGTCGTCGAATTCTAGACGCGTTACTTGTTATTATTGTTTGTTTTTTGTTCGAATTGCGTACACGAGATATAAGTAAACCTATCGCGTAGGATGTGTAGAAAACTGT